CTGCAGATACCAGCACGTGAACAAATAGAAACCATGACAAGATGATGTATTCACATAGTTGAGAGAGGAAGCCTTCATTTCCCCACTTCTGCCTCTCAGTGAGCTCTGCACCTAAGCTGCCTGTCTTTTCTTAGACTCTGGTAGTGAGCCTCGCCTCTACCGCCTGAGCCTTCGCTCCAGCCCAAGTTTTGTCTCTTTCCTGTACAGATACCCAGCCCACCTCCTTGCAGTTACTTTTATTATGTGTGATTTGAAACACGCACGCGCACGCACACGCACGCACAGGATTAAAGTTGTCATTTCCCCAGTTTCAGGATGGACCGTTAATATGACTGAAAGAGTCACTCCAAATGCTTTGCCGCTTCGTTCTCTGCAGTGGGTCGTTCCGAAAGCGAAGTTATCGGGACACTGTTTCTGCCTGTAAGGTTTAAAGATGCCCTCACTGGTTCTTGTAAACCTGTGCTCTGGACTCGCCCACTGCGTCCTCATCATGTTACACGCGCGTTCCAGTGGTTATGTAGTGGGGTTTGGGCCCTTTGCGGTCAGGTATGGCGTTGATCTTTTTTTTTTTTTCCAGGTCAAGATAAACTTTAATTATCCAAAGTTACTATAAACTTAAAAATGTCTACAATTTGTTTCTGAGAACGGTTTGGAATTAAAAGAGAAAGCCGAAGCTTTCACTGTGGCTTTGAAAGCAGGAAAACAAGGGTCCGGGGAAGGCGGGCCACTTGAGACTTGGCAGGGGCAAGTTTCGATACCAATCCTGCGGTGCCTGTGGAAACCGGTTATGCTGGAGCTACTTCAAGGATACATTTATAGCCGCTTCGATAGCTGTAGCAGTGTTGCGTTTTGCCAGCAGGATTAAATTCTGAGCTGAAATGCTGTACCGTTGTTTCTGTGCTGTGCTAGCCTGTGTGTGGTGGCCTACTTCAGCTGGCGTGTTTAGAGAAGAATCAAGTCAGCTTTCTGTGTTTCTACCAGTAGAGGTCACTGTGCCCCTGTTGAAGGCGACCAGTGCTGTCGTGGTGGCTTCGGATCAGTAGTTATCACTGACATTTCTGAGGGCTTCCCTTCCCACTCCAATGTAGGCCTTTCCTGTTAGTACTCCAGAGAGTCCATTGCTGTGTATCCACATCAGGAGATCATATCCCCATAAAGCTCCGACATCTGCCCGTAATATACCTGGGCAAGTTAGCTGATCCCACAGGCATGCGTGCTTAGTTGTGAATGGCGGTAACTTCCACACAGCCATGTGCTTCTTACTCTGCTGTCCTGTCCGTGTTACCCTCTGAGTGTCTGCTGGAGACTCCCTTCCTCCAAGGTTGGCTGTGTTTGCCGATAACAAGACTGTTTAAGAACAAAGCACAATTCTGGTCTGAATAAAATTGCCATGGGCCCCCTCCACAGATAGCCAAGCTGTGTAAATCCCAGACTAGCCTGCGTGACCTAGGTAAGAAGGACCGCTGGAGCAGCAAGCTGCTGCGAGTTAGCACACGCCACTGCAGGCAGTGGTGTAGGACACGCTGATGCTTTCCGATCCCGTCAGTGCCACCATCCTCATCTTGGTGGCGAATGGCCTGGCCATTCTGATGCCCTTGTAATGACTCTCTCTCTCTTTCTGCCTCAGTTTGAGAGTACCTGCCTCCTGGTGTGGGATGCGGCCACCAAGGTAGCCCCTGGAAAGCCTGCAGAATGGTGCTCTAGGATGCAGTCGACACTCAGGCTGCTGCTGCTGCCGTCAACTTTCTGAGGAAATGCTGAGCCGAGTGTAATAGCTCAGTTCTTACATTCCATGGATCTAAGAGCTTATTTCGTGTTCTTCCTAATTAACCTGTTTTTCTCTGGTTCCATATCAGGGAACCAGATAAGGATATCACCATTAATTACTCAAGATTTTTTTCTTTGAAGTCGTTTCTGTGCTTATTCAGTGAACTTCCCTCTGCTGGTCCAGTGCTCTCTTCTGGGGTAACCAGCCCCAGCCACGCCTCTTAGTGAGTTGTGCCAGTATTACATGATGTACTTACTTTGTGTTCAAGGGTGTTGATTTCAGTGGAAGATGTGAAACTTTTTTTTTTTACAAGATTTTGCTGTAACATCTCAATTTGCTGGTGTATTTTTTCATATTAGAAATCTGTCTCACTGATTATAAGGCAGTGGTGTTCAACTCAAGAATTCAGAGCAGTGATCTGTCCATTTGTATAGAGCAGAAATCTGGCCACCAAAGTCTCTATGTTCAAAGTTCCCGTGGACCAGTTCTAGCTGAGGGAAACCGATATCTGTCTGACACAGAAGGATTTGGGGATTCCTTTTAAAATATCTTAATTGCATTTATTGGTGTGAGGGCGCATACGTTCACGAGGAGGTTAAGGGTAACTTGGGGGAGTCGTTTGTTTCCTCTTAGGCGGATCCCGAAGATAACTCACATTGTCAGGCTTGGTGCAAGATCTCTGATCTTCTAAGCCATCACATTTTTGTAGTCTGGATTTGGTCCTGAAAGGTGGGACTGGTTGTAAATTTTATGTCCTTGATGGACATTTAAACTCCATCCGTATTATTTGTCTGTATCAGCTTTGCCTCTAGGTAGGTGAGGTAAACCAGTTGTCCTGAGGCGCGTCACATCTAACTCGATACAGTCTGTTGTCAGATGCATGAACTAGGAGGATTTCTCTAGGGATGGTTCAGATTCCCTAGAGTAGGCAGAAGTCCACAAAGTGCAGTGCCTTCTCCATTAACGAGAGCTTGATATTTCTAAGACTAGGTGTGAAAAAATCATGTCCATTACCTATTCCCCGAGAGACTGCACTGTGTCAGTACTTGAGTTTTTAAATGAGTCACATGTGGACACTCCCACCAAACATACACACACGCCAAGAATGGAACCTTTCAGTAACAACATTACCGGGGACATGTGTGGATGGGTTTTAATAGCCCTGTAAGGCAGTGATCTGAGGTTTTCCCCAGACATGTGAGTGTTAGTTGTAATTTTCAGAGAGCTGAGTCAAGTCCATTGACCCAAACTGCTCAGTGGTTAGGGGACAGCAGGGACTTCACTATCTCAGATGTAATGAGGCAGGGAGGTGGGGAATGTGTGTTAGCTTAACAAAAAGAGTCATTGTTTTCTGGTGCCCCCTATGCATTTTCTAAGTTTAGTGTGTAAGGTCATTGTAGGTAACACACTAGTTTCCCAGCTTATTTTAGTGGTTAGCATGACGTTGTATTGAGGTTTGTTTGATCAGTGGATCTTTTGCAGAAACTCGGGGAGTTGCCTAGAATAGTATTTAGATGAATTTCGGTAATTTTTCCATTATAAGTGCTACTTGTGACCCAGTGGGTTTCTTTAGGGTTATTTATAAGACCCAAGGAAGGGAAAAGCAGTCTGCCTTTGGAAGTGGACCCCCTTCCCCTGGTGGAATAGCTGGGCATTGGCTCAGTGGTTGTGTGCTCTGTTCTTTCATGGTGTGTGATTGGTAAGAGCACAGCACAGCACAGCTCACCAGACCATAAGAGTGCATCTGAAGTGTCGAACGTGCCGAACACTGGGAGTTAGCATTAGCATTGCTAGATTCTGGAAAGAAAGGATTGAAGGTAGAAGACTCGAGAGAACCAGACCACAGCTGCATTCCTAAGTGCCCTAGAAAGTGGAGGGGAAGGGGATGGGAGGGAGAGGGATCCCTGATGAAAGTTGTCTTCTTTTTCCTCTTCCTAGGACTTCAGGAAGGCACACATATTACCACTTATGTATTCAACATCTGTATCAGATGTGGGTGGAATGCAGCTAATGCCCAGGCCTACGTCACCTTGTGTTCATTGTTGAGGACCAGGAGCATGTAGACACAAAGCCATTCATGAAACACCTAGCCGCAAGACATGGTGTCTATTGACGACATGTCTCCATAGAGGAGAAAATGGAGCAACTCTGTACAGAGATGAGCTAGGACTGTCCCCCAGGACCTAGCACTAGTGAGGATTTGGATCAAAACGGCTTGTAGTTGACATGACAGAACTTATTAGATTGTCTTATTTTCTTGAAATCTTTAAAAAATTTAGTGTTTTAAGAGTTTGTTTTGCCTGCCTGCATGTCTGTGCAGCACATGTGTGTGCACGTGTGTGCAGTGCCTGTAGACGCTAAAAGAGGGTTCCCCAGAACTGGAGCTACAGGGAGTTGTGAGTTCCCATATGGGTGTTGGTAATTGAACCCAGGCTCTGCAAGAGCAGTCAGTCCTTTCCACCACTGAGCCAGCTCTCCAACTCCATGCATTGTCCTATTTTCTCTCGCCGTTAGTGATAGAAATTTTTCCTCATAACCAATCATTGTAAGTTTATATGCTTGTCAGGTTTTTTTTAGACTCCGAGTAGACTCACTTTGTTGGCAGTTTTTAAAACTTTCATTGTGTGTGTGTCCATCCATGTGTGTGGGTATGTGTAAGTATGGCACATACATGCCATGAAGCTTATTGTGGGACTGGTTCTCTCCTTCCACCTGTTGAGGCAGGGTCTCTCTGTTTCTGCCGCACACGACACTGCACACTCCAGACTGTGGCCTGGGAGTTACCCTGTCCACACCTCCTGTCTTGCTGTAGTGGTGCTGGGATTACAGGTGAGCACCACTGTCCCTTTATGTGGATTCAAGGAGTTAAATTCGAGGCTTCAGGTTTATGTGACGAGGGCTTTTATCAGTTGAGCCACCTCCCAAGCCTGCAAACACTTTTTCTTGCTCATTCAAATGCTGTACACGTTGATCCCTTCCGAGACATGTAGGTCCCTTGCACCTTTCTGTACCTCAGCCCGAGTTCTGTGCACTTGTGTTAACAGTCTGGGAGAAGCTGAAGAATCCTGTCTGCGTCTGCACTGTGTTTATCTGCTGATCACATAAATACTTGAAAATAGAAATACTCATTTGTATTTAAAACTATTCCTGTCGGCTTCTAGTTCTCTGGCATACACCACTTTTGCCAAAGTTCCTGTGGCAGGTACTTTGAAAGGGTGGCAGTCCGCTGTTTTCGCTCAAGCCCAGTTAAGTTTGACAAACTGAGACATCTTGCTCCTTTCTGAGAACCGCAGTGAGTTCTTCTACAGTGGGGGATTCTTCAGTCCCACTAAGGCTGGCACTGAGGGCGTGGCTTGTTGAACTGTAGAGATTTTAGTGAGGAGAATATAAAACCTCGGCTGTATTCAGGCTCGCCTGTGCGTGTGGGCTCACTTCTCTCCAGACAGGACCCCGGCTCCCCAGAGCCCGGGTGCTCGGCATCCTAAGGAGCAAGTCTTTGCCTTTGTCATCTTGTCCGTTCCTTTGAGCCATACTTGACAGCTGCACGTGACAGTTGGGGAATTGCTTTCAAAGTCTGGCATCGGGTTTCAGTAGCCAATTTAAATATAAACCACATCCTTTGGAAGTTTTCAGCGGAAGACATTTATACTCAGTGTCTTTTAAATGAGAAGTCAAGCAAGTGAATGGTGGGCAGGGGCCTAACTCGTAAGTGCCTTTGTTAGCATTTGGATGACAGATACACAAGTACCCCAACACTAGGTCTACTATAAGTTCACAGTGTAACCAAAGATGGCCATTCATCTCAATTATTCAAATTGTGAGATCTACAGAAGTCTATGCATTCCTACGTGAACTATGTAAACAATAATAGAAGCCTATAGCCAGGACGATGAGGGGAGTAGCTCATCCCTTGTCAGCCAAGGAACATTGGGGCTGACGTTCTAGTTTGGTTATTGATCCCATGCACTAATTTTCTTTATTTCTGTATTTTCTTAATGTATGCGAGTATTTTGCCTGAGCGTATGTCTGCACCACACGTGTGCCTGGTGCCCATGGAGGCAAGAAGAGAGCATTGGATACCCTGGAGCTGGAGTTACATGTATAGGGCTGTCAACTGCTGTGTGGGTGCTGGGGACCGAACCCCAGTCCCCTGGGAGAGCAGTCAGTATTCTCCACCACTGAGCCGTTTTTCCAGTGTCCAGAATGCCAGGGCAGGACTGTGTCTCCGAGAATTTGCTGAACTGAGGTCATGGGGTCGAGCTGTTCGTGTTTCTTACGTCACAGCAGAGAAAGGCTGACCCATCTCATCCCACAGATCCCCTTTGTCATTAGTGGCCCTGGAATAGGAACATTCATATTCTAGAGCATTTCAGTCAACCAAGATAGACAGCACTTTTAGAAATAATTAGCACAATCAGTTGTATTTTTCTTAAATGCATATATGTGTTTTCCTTCACCTGTTCGTGTGCACCTGTGAAGCTGAGAGCCTGTGGAGGTTGTTGATGTAGTCGTGCGAGGCACCGCACACTCGCTCACTTTGTGTTCATTCTATATACATATGGTGTATAAGTATAGTTTATCCAACTTTCCCATTCTGTTTTTCCCCAAATACAGTAGAATTCTCTAGGTGGTTTTATACAGAATGACAAGGACAAATTCTTCCCAAGCCAAACTTCCTGTTAGTGAATATTTTCTCCACATTGCACTCAGACTGACTTCTGCGTGCCGCCGCCACGTGCCACGCATGCCCCGTCAGTTAGCACCCCTCCTCTGCCACGTAGACTTTTCATCCTATGTCCAATGATGAAATAGTGAAACTTGGAGGTAAATTTATTGTGGTAACTTTTTCTCGTTCCAATATGATGTTTTTTTCCAATAAGGAAGAAACATTCCACTTTTATCATTAAAATAGGTATGTAAAAGAATAACAATTCTGAGATGTGATGGATTTTCTAGAATTCTCCTGAGGAAAGAGTTATGCCTATAGGGGAGAAAGTGGCTGAAGAGTGGGCTGTGCACAGGAAGTCATGTTGGGAAAGCATGTTCCTACTCTGTTCTGTGTTTTGTTGAGACAGGATCATGTAGCCCAGGCTGTCCTCAGATGTGAAGTATAGCTGAGGGTAACCTTGATTTCCTGATCTGTCTCTTCCTCTCAGATGCTGGAATTATGGGTATCTTCTACCATGCTCTGCCTCGTTTATGCGGTGTTGGGTTTCATGAACATGAGGTTTCATGCGTTCTAAGCAGGAACTCTACAAACTGAGCTATATCCCCAGCTCCTGGTCAATGTTTTATCTTTTTTTTTTAAATAGAGGAGGAATTTTAAGTGTTTTTGTCTTTTTTGCCTGTTTTAAAAATAGTAATTAACTAGCAAACAGTAATAACTAGTAAAAAATAATCTCATTGTAACATTTTTATTCTTGTATATTTTAGTTTCCTGTTGTTTGTCTTTGTTGTCTTTAAGTCTTGAGGATTCTAACTCGGGACTCTTGCCCAGGTAACGAGAGAGAGTAATCATATGGGGAAATGCTCTTGAAATTTTGCTGCCTAGCGAGTGCTTCCCCTTCCGGTCGCTGTTTGTCTCCTGTGGGGCGGCCTCAGCATTGACTGCACTTCTGCGTTCAGTATCTGTGTGCGGGACCCGAAAGAGAACAGGGCCACCATGGTGAAAACGGTGTAACGATGAAAATGATTTGGACACTCACATTGCTTAAAATGAGCATGCCGCCACAAAAAGCCTGGTGGGTTAGGAAGGTCAACCCACCGGCCTCTCAGGGAGCTGTCTGAATAATTAGATCATCTATATGGACTCACTCTGTAGACCAGGCTGACTTCAAACTCAGAGATCCGCCTGCCTCTGCCTCCTGAGGGCTGGGATTAAAGGGGTGCCCCACCACCTGGCTTGGATTTATATTTCAAGTGTAGTTGTGGTCCTGGAAGTCTGTGCACACTGCTCCATTTCTCCAGATTGCAGGTAATTGAGATTCCACGTTTGTGGTAGACAGCTTACCCGCTCCGGTCCACGTTAGGTAGTTGTGTGTGTGCTTACACTTGCCTTTGGGAGTGCGTGGAGGCCAGCGCTGACACTGCCCTATTTCCCCACGTCTTCACCTTACTTTTGTTTTTGAGGTAGGGTCTCTCACTGCACTTGCAGCTCAGCTTTGACCAGGTTGGCTGGAGAGCAAGCCTCTGAGGGCTGCTCTTCCCCTCCCGCCCCCACCTCAGCACCCCGGATAGAGACTCAAGAGCCACCATGCCAGGTTCTTACATAGGGAATCCAGACTAGGGCCTGGATCCCCACAGAGCCAGCCATCTTCACAGACCCCAAGTTAGTTTTTATGACTGAACTCAATCAGGTATTCCTTTGACACTCTGGAGCCCAGTTCGTTTTTTTTTTTTTTTTTTTTTTTCTGGTTGATTTACAAGGAACTGCCTTTTCTAATTTTATCAACCTGAGGACCATGGCTGTGGCTTCACTTCCTGGTGCTGGTGAACAAGAAGTACGATTCGCTTTTCTCCCTCAGCACCAACTGTTTTTCCAAACTGCGTTCTGCTTAATTGTCTCTTCCATTTGAAAACACTGAAATTCTCCCAACATAATTAAGAAAGTTGACTTTTGTTGTTGGATAAAAAACAGTGGCAAATCTGTTTCTTTTTCTGAAACGAAAATTTAAGGGCATTTGATATGAAACAGGTAGTGCCGTGCCTTCCAAATCAAAGGTAACATCCGCCATATCGCTGCATTGATATCTCAATATGTTATCTCAATATGGCCTCCCCCCCTGCCATGCAGGAAGGGCAGTAGCAGAGTGTTCCTCTTGGGATTCCTCGTGGTGTCCTGAGCTAGTGCGCATCAAATCCTAGCAGTGCTCTGAGAACTGGTGACGGTTACCTCATTTAGATGTTTTCTGAAGGATCCCGTGGGTGGTGAGCATAGCTTCCCTGCCGCCCTTCCACAGTGTGTTTCCATGGCTGTCCGAAGCTCTTGCCTGTGCCCTAACTTGAGGGCATTCAGGGTCACAGTGGTGCTGGTAGACTTAAGGGTCTTTGTCTCTGGTGGCAGAGTCATGGGAGATCCAGGAGAGATGAATCGGCAGCAGGGAAACGTTTAGTTCACCTATTGAAGGAAAGGGATTGTTTTGTTTTTTGTTTGTGTGGTTTTTGCTTAGAAAAAGGAAGTCTACAGTAGCTAGTTTTCTTGACAAGGCCACTCAGCTCTTCAGCTTACAGGACTGGAACAGTCTTTGCCCACTTGGATCTTCACAAGAGCTGGACACAGTTGTTTCAGTAGCTGTGCCGTTTTTGATTTTGCCACAACCTTTGTGTGTATGTATTTCTGTGTGTGTGTATGTGTGTGTGTGTGTCATACCCTTCTAAGGAACAAACAGAAGGCATTGTGTGTGTGCTGGACTTGATGGTTCCGCAAGAATGGAAATGAGTCTGCTATATTCTGACCTCTTTCCAAACAAAGCTCATTGCCTGACACCAGGAAGCCAGTTATCAGAAGCCATCCGTATTATGACACGGCCCCTTTGCACTGGGACACTTGTAAAAAGACACTTATCTGGACAGGTCTGCATACTTATTCCCAGCTAGACGTGGTCGTCATCTATAAACATTGTTTATAGACCTTGAGGTTTAGGTGTTTGTGCTCACAGATCTGTTAGTGAACACTTGCTCATGTACCTCTCACGTTACAGAAAACCCAGTTGGTTATGTCAACGAAAACTCTGGCATTATGGTGGTGTCTGTGTTTGTGGTGGGAGGTCTCCCCTAAGGGGAGGGGTTTGCATGTTCCTTCTAAAAAGTAGAACCAGAGCCAGTGGAGCAAATGCAGCCGCAGGTGCCAGTGAGTGGCAGACCATGAGGTGTGCAAGGAGGGAGTTAGGATAACAGGGGAGAGATGGCCTCTCGCCACCTAGTGTGAATGAGGAGGGCCTTGGGAACAGTTGTCTAGAGAGTCTGAGTGTGCCACCGAACAAAGACTGGTCAGCATTCAGCGTGTGCATGGGGCAGAGGGTATAGGTATATTTAATAGCACTGGCATTATCAGCTTTATAATCTGTTAGAGGAGGGAGCCAAGGTAGGCAGCTTCTTGCCATTCAGTCTTTGTCCCAATTGACACCATTTATCACGAGCCCTCTTTGTCTAGGTAGTAACGTATCATTTCATCTCTTTCCCAGTGGCCAAAGGTCTGGATACAGAGCTTGCTTCTGTTTCAGATACCGCATCCGCATTTCAGGCTCAGAGGTAATAGGATGGGGTGTAAAGGGCATTGAAAGTTGGGCGTATCCATTACTTTCTGAAGCCATTACACTGAAGCCAAACACCTGAAGGAAGAGAGGCTTTATTTTGGCTAACAGTTCAGGGAAAGTCCATCATGATGGCAGGAAGTCATGGAAGCAAGAGCTTGAAGCAGCCAGTCATACGGCATCAAGGCCTAAGCCAGGAGAATGGTATTATCCATTTAAGGGCAACCTAATCAAGATAGATGCTTCGTAGGTGATTGTAGTCCTTTCAAGTTGATAATAACTGTCAAGGTTCTGTGTCATGTGTCAGGTTCTGTGCCTTCACCTGCTATAGATCACCATTACACTCGGGCCCACTTCCCATATTCCAGATGCTTTACTGTCTCTCAAAAATGAGAAGAAAAGGAAACCCATTTTTACAGATAGCCAAAGCATACATGCTGTAACAGTTGGTCCTCGTCGCCTTTTCGGGGGCTCCCCAAGTTGTGGGTCTAACCGGTGTTGTCAGCTGTGTGGCTGGTGCTTTGTCTCATCGGCAGAGGATTTTGGTAGCAGAAATCAAGAGCACTCTACCAGGACAACCTGCAGCAGTTCTAGAATAGTCTTCCTTTGGCAGACAGGTCCCACACACCAACCACGTGACTCAAAATACCCGCCTCCAAACTGGAGGCTCAAAAGGAAGCAAAAGGCATGTAATGTCCATTCTGCCCTGAGATGATTGACTCCTAACCTCAGCACAGGCAAAATCCATTGACGTTCCTGTGCCTCTAACTATCCGTGTGTGCCGCCATGCAGCAATGGTGTCAAAGCTGAGACCTGTGAACATCAGAGCACTGGCAGGCCCCGTCAGTGCATGCCTGTGACCCTCAGTTTCTCTGTTTCACTCCTCCTGGGGTATTCCCGTAACAGCAGGTCCTTGCCTACCTACCCACATGTCGCCTAACTCTGCCAGGGTTTCCCTTTCTTACCCAAGGAAGGTAGGGGTGCTTCCTGCTGGCTTTGAGCAGTAGTTTACAGGTGATGATTTGTAAACTGGACACTTAAGATGTGGCGGAAGTGTTGAGTATCAGGCTTTTAAAAATCTTTTTTTTTTCCGGTTTCAAATGAAATCAGTACCTCACTATACAACGTCAGTATTTTTACTTATTGTTTGGATTTGAAGAATGAGCATGTGCCGGTCATCGGTTTGGCTTAGGGATCATTCCGTTGTTTGTCCCCTCAACAGATAGTTGAGTGGCCTAGCCCTTCCAGGTGCCAGAGAAACACGAAGGCCAACAATGACAGACACCAGGGAGGCATGGAAACTCTGGGCACTGCTGTGTGTGCCACCATGGGCCACAAAGAGGGTCCTGTTCCAAGGCTTCACCAGGAAGGATGCTCTACTGACCTTTGAAGACTGTAGGGATGGGATCCATCAGAGGGCTAGCTGTGAGGGAGGAGGTGGTGGGAACTATACAGACCTTGTGGAGAGGGGCTCCTTGAGTCACACGTTAGTATAGTAGCAGACAAAAGTCTGTAGATTGGAGAAGAGGATTGTCGTATACATTGGGATACATCTAAATATTTTTATTGATGGATGTGTGTATGTGTGCGCACATATCTGAAGGTCAGATCACAGGTTTTATAGAATCATTTCTTTTCTTGGGTTCTGAGGATCAGTATTGGACCTCCAAGCCTATTCAGCTAGCTCGTCCACCTACATAACCATCTCTCCAGCCTGGCTTTAAATATCTTCATGATATTGTTTGTTAGGGTATGCAAGATTAAAAATCCCTTAAAGCTTCTGAAGTCAGGCTCCTCTTTAGAACATCTTTAAGACACATTGCTTATTAACCCTGGATACGGAAGATGCACAAAAGGCAAAAATAATGATGGCGTTTCACGTGTATGAAGCCCAGGAGATTTGGCTCTCCTTCTGCAAATCTTGAAATAAATGTTTTCTGGGACATTAACTGGAAGACAGCTTGCCAGCACCAAACTGGCAGTCCATGGTAGAAACTCGAAACTGCGAACAGATGCAGCCTCCAGATTTTTAAAGAGTGGAATCTTTTCAGCCAGCTGCCAAACCATTGATCTCCGTAACTTTTTAAAGTCTGAAATACACATTTAAGTCTAACTTTACTGTTCAGCTCACACAAAACGTTCCTGTGTGTTATATCCCAAATACACGGCTGATTTCCAAGAGATTTACCTTGGTTAGAATTAAACTGTTGTTACTGACTGGGTAGTTTATCCAGAAGCCAAGTAGATCAAATACAGTGTTTCAAAAAATAGAACTCCAGTGGACATCAGTAACCATAGGCGTGAAGGGAACCTGCGGGTGTTCTGTGTTCCCTTAAAACCACGTTTGCAGCGTGTGTGTGTGTGTGTGTGTGTGTGTGGTGGCGTTTGTTCAGCATGCACATCTAGTATATGTCATTATGATATATTTAGGAAACTCCAAACTGTCACATTAGTTAAGTGATAAATCTCCCAAGACATGGAGCCCAGGTCTCTCCTCAGTTTACCGTTCAGCATGGTTGCTCCCCTGAGGGATTCAATAGACGGGGACACACTGGCCAGTCCGTTCCAAAGCATGTCCTATTCATAATGGGAGTCATCGTGGGCTCTGTGGTCTGACTGGTGAGGAGGTGAGGTAGTAGGATCGAAGACTCTGTCCATGCAAGCCCCTCCCCCATGCACACGTCCTAGACGGTTCATCCTGCTAGACGTCTCTCCAATCAAGAGACATCTCTATTTTGTAAGTCTTCGTACTTTTCAAATGCTTTTGCCAAGTGTCAGAGCAGAGGCTTTCTCCACCTCATGCAGACATGGGACTGTGTGTGTTCTGGTAGCCTACTTAAAAATCGTGCAGAAAGGCACAGTTTTAGTCCAGGTGTTGGTACATGCCTTTAATCCCAGCACTCGGGAGACAGACAGGCAGATCTCTGTGAGTCTGAAGCCAGCCTGGTCTACAGAGCTAGTTCCAGGACAGCCAGGAGCTGAAAAACCTAAAGAAACGCACAGTTTGGGAAATTGTAGAGTAGGATAAGGATAGACAAAATCAAACCACTTAAAACATCAAATCTGGATCTATTTCTGTTCGCCTGACACAAAACTAGCCTGTAGGAGTTCGCAGGTGCTGGAGTCTCCAGGGCACGCCTCCATTCTGGCTTTGCCTCCCAGCAGTTGTCTCAGGTCATGAGCAGCACCCCTCTGTATCTCTGCAAAGATGGGTGCTCTTACATCTTAAATTAACCCATTTCTATTTTATATTTTACCACGAGGCTCGTGATTTATGGGCAAGGTTCTGGGACAGGAGACTGTCTCCTCCAGTGGCTACATGGTGTCTCCCTGACTCCGCCTGCTCCTTATCAGTCTCCTTGGAATTCCCACCTTGCTCTATTCTGCCCTGCAATAGGCTTAAAGCAGCTTCTTTATTAACCAGTTGTAATAAAACATATTCACAGCGTACAGAGGGAAATCCCACATCAAGGTAGGAAAACCTGTCTCAAAACACAGGTGGGTGGCACCATGGAGTAACAACAGAGGTTTAATTCTGGCCTCCAACCACCCCCACATACATGAGCAGGCACATATACCAATAAATCAATAGAAATAAATGAATAAATGATCATTTTGTTGAGTGTTTAAATGGTCCCAATAAGCCATTACTGGGTTACTAGGAATAAATTCCTTGCAGAAAAATGGTTCTATTTTTGAAAAGCTATTTTGTTGAAGGGGAAAGATGTTCAGATGCTGTCAGTAGGGGACTCAGAAAGTTGTTTAGCTTGTGACAGTGATGGTGGTGGAGGCCTTGATGGCAATGGTGCAGCAGACTGGCTCACTCCACCTCCCAATAATGGAGCAGTGTCAACCCCGGAAGAGG